TTTGTATAATTATGTAACCCTATCAATAAGTGTGTATTGCGGATGGAGCTACCTTTTTTGTGTAAAAACTTTCAGATCTAGTTGTGTATATATATAAATACTACACAGTGATTGAGGTGTATTCACATATACCTGTAACCTAGATAACAAAGCCCCCAAATGCATTACTTTACATTTTTACATTTATCAACATTACACCTCATTGTCATGTAGTTGTCCACCCCTTTATTTTATTGAGGTCTGTTTGAAAGGTTTCTATATCCTGCTGTGAAGTTATTGCCCTACTTCACTCTGTATCATCAGAAAACACTGAGATTAAACTATTCATGCCAATCTTTGCATCGTTTATGAATAAATGTAATAGAATTGGTTCCAGGTCAGAGCCTTGGGGTACCCCACATACAACTCCAGACAATTCAGAGTACTCACTATTTATCGCTCCCCTTTGAACTCGCCCCTGTAGCCATTTTTCTGTCCAGGTACATACCCTATGGTCTATGCCAACAGACATCAATTTGTAAATTAAGCGTTTATGGGGAACTGTATCAAATGCTTTTTTCAAAATCCCGATACAACACATCCACAGGCCTTCCTTTATCTAGATGGCAACTTACTTCCTCATAAAATGTTAACAGATTGGTCTGGAAAGGATGAGCTTTTATAAATCCATGCTGATTACTACTAATGATATGATACGGTTTTCATCACCAAATTCGGGAATATAGCTCCTTATCATCCCTTCTAATAGTTTATCAATACTATCAATATTTGACTTTCTGGCCTGTAGTTTCCAGGTATATGTCTGTGCCCTTTTTAAAATATTGGTATATATTCTGTCCTGCATAGGTAAACAGTGATCACACCATACATTTGAGGTATTACTGCGAGGGAGCAAAAATTCTAATGCAATAATTCTAGTGATAGATAACAAACTGATAAGAAAACTGGTGTAGCGCTGTGTGCATTCACATGTTATCTCTATTAGTTTGAATCATGGTACACTCCATATATATTTGAATTAAGTTGCTTTTATTCACATCTTTTTTATTGATCATACACAGTGTCACACCAATAATTGAACCAAGTTACCTTTATTCACATCTTTTATTGATTTTCACCATTTATGTTAAGTATAGCACAGTATACACAGCGCTACACCATTTTTCTTATCAGTTTGTTATACATCATAGTAAAGCTGGGGTGTTAGCAGCTACTTCAATTTCTGAGACCATTGTTGGCAGCGCATGAGTCTACCCCCCCCCCCCATTCAATTCTATTGATAGACCAACTGTTTAATTCTAAAATTGTAAAGGCTTTTAAATTATTGCCTATGGATAATTTCATGTACTGTAGTTTGTTGCCATTGTTAGGCATCAATTTATTTGGTGTAACATAATTTTTTATATTCTACCAAAAATTGGGTATTATATTGTGCTTGTGAGCACTAAAATTCATTAAAATGTATTATTTCCGGAAAATAAGTGTTTGATAAACCACTGTTCAAATATTGTCTGACATACAAAATTGTAACATCCAGCATTTTATTCTCCAGGGCTTTTGCCTTCATAAAATATATAACATTTGAGGATTTTAAGTTATACTCTAGCAAGAAAATGCAGATTTGTACATGCATGCGAGAGTCAGAATTGGCCCATTAGGGAAGTGGTTAAAGGAAGTTGAAAAATAGCAGCAGGATCATTACATTAAAAAACAAAGTTACAGGGGGACATTAAGAAAGAAAAAGACTGCTTTTGTTTATGCTAGTGTCAGACTGCATCATATTTGTCTTTTTTGATTTTGACTTTAGTACTGCTTTAAAAACAATAATATGTCTAGCAGTGAACTCATAAATAACCATCTGGACTGCTACACTAGACTTACACAATTCCAGTGGGAGCCTGGTCTCTGTGCTGGGGGCATGCTGTGCATGCTCCCAGCATAAAGGGTGACAAATTATTTATTAAACACCAAGAAAATGGTAGGTTAATACCAGCTTTGAAAGCTTCTTGGCATCCTGGAAAGATGTTAAGATAAGTTAATTGAACTATGAACTCTATATTAGATGTAGCAATATTTATAGGTAATATATTACAATTATAAATAGTTTTTGATTTAGAAGTTTTAATATAGACTGTTATTGTTGAAAAATAAAAATAAATTGGGTTGTGTATGGGAAATTTTGCTTTGTGAAATGGCAAGTACACAGAAAATGGCAGTTTTCCAAGCACCATACCTTCAGCGCTTGCTGCAGGATAACTACCTTGGCAGAACCCAGCCATAGGTGAACAATAGTTAAATATCTGCAGTGTGAACAGCCTAAACCTAACCTAAAATAGAAAATGATAGTCAGACATGAACATACAATCCAAGTACCATTTTAGTGTTCAAACATTCAGTGCACAACATGTTCTGATGAGCAGATATATCACAATGGCATACCTCCCAAGTGTCCTGAAAATGGCAGGACTGTTCCAAGCTTTTATTGAAATCCCAGCATCCTGCAGATCCTGGCTAAACCTCAAAACCCAATTTTGGAATGGGTTCCAGCACTAGGTTCCACTAATTCTCCTGCTCCAAACCCCCTGCAGTGCATCTGACTTCTCCTCCTCTTCCTCCCACTTGCTGCACTGCAGGGGGATTGGTTACATGTCTGCATCCAGCATTCCCCTCCCTCTGGTTTCCACTTCCTGTGTGGTCCTTGCCGCTCCATTCCCTCTGTGTCCCCCCCACATCATTGCCAGTTCTCCTCCTCTCCCTCCTACTGGCTGCACTGCAGGGGAATCACAGGGGGTGTCTTCACTGAGAAATATTCATATTATATAAAATATTCATAATATTGTCTGCTTTAACGCCTTGAACCCTGTCCTAGCATGCTACAACCATGCGCATTGCATGCAGTTGCGGGTGCTTTCAGAGCAGCCCCATTTACTTGAATAAGTCATGTTCAACAGGGGGTATAATTCATGCTGGGGTTGTGAAGCAAAGCATCGTGGCTGTGGCATGTGTACACCCCCAGGCACTGCCTCAGCAGCTAAAGGGGTTAGCAGTGTGTGGGGGGGTGGTCAGTAAAGTGTTGCCCTAAGGACTCATTCACACAGGTTCTCTGATCATGTGAACATTGGTTTGTTCACACTACTGGAGCTACTTTAGTATTAACTCAAAACAGCTTTATCTTTTAGATTTAGCAGGAATTTTGTATTCTGATTTTTTTGTAGGTTATGTTGTGTTTGTGTCCTCTAATATGACTTTAGTGTATTTTTAGCTAATATATTGTTTTGATATTTTTTGGGGGGATTATTCATTATGGTAGGCTTGGGAAAACATGCCATCCCTCTGTTTATTTTCCCTCTGTTATCTATTCTCCCTATTATCTCTCTTTAACCCCTTCATGACTGAGGGTAAAACAAATCCTAATGCCTGAACACTATTTTGCAACTTTAACTTGTGTTATTAAAACTGCACATATAATCACAACTACTTAATGTATTCAGGTGGATTATATCTTGGTTTTTTTCAGGACAAATAGGGGGCTCTTCTAGTGGTAAATGATCATGGATGTCTCCTGATTATTTTTTTTCTATTTTTATCAAAAGCAACTGTTCCAAAATAGTAAAAAATATGTTTTTTTTTTTGCTTGAGCTGCATATTTCTTGCTATTACCATAATTTTACCACAAAAAAATAACCCAAAATAAATTCTCCTGCCCTGGAGATTGCAGTAATACCACATACACTCACTGGCTACTTCATTAGGTACACCTGTTCAATTGCTTGGTAACACAAATTGCTAATCAGCCAATCACATGGCAACAACTCAATGCATTTAGGCATCTAGACGTGGTGAAGAGGACTTGTTCAACCCAAGCAGCAGAATGGGGCAGAAAGGGGATTTAAGGGACTGTGAATGTTGCATGGTTGTTCGTGCAAGACGGGCTGGTCTGCGTATTTTCAAAAACTGCTTACTGGAATGTCCATGCACAACTATCTCTAGGGTTTACAGAGAATGGTCCGAAAAAGAGAAAACGTCCAGTGAGAGGCAGTTTTGTGGACGAAAATACCTTGTTGATCTCAGAGGTCAGAGGAGAATGGGCAGACCGCTTGCTGTGACATTCAGATGGTAGGGTTAGAATTTGGCATTAACAACATGAAAGCATGGATCCATCCTGCCTTGTATCAACGGTTCAAGCTAGTGGTGGTGGTGTAATGGTGTGTTGGATATTTTCTTGGCACTAGCAAGGTGTACCTAATAAAGTGGCCGGTGAGTGTATGTATATGTTATTTGTTGTCTGTATCCGTAGAAGGGCCCAGAAACAATAGCGCACATTTTGCTTTTTTATCCTATCTAAAGCACACTGACACTATCACTGACACGGATCCAAATTTCACCACTAGCCTACAGGGCACTTATACCCCTTTCCTGCCCAGGCCAATTTCCAGCTTTCAGCGCTGTCGCACTTTGAATGACAATTGAGCGGTCAAACAGCGCTGTACCCATATGAAATTTTTATCATTTTTGTGCGACAGATAGAGCTTTATTTTGGTGGTATTTAATCACCTTTGGGTTTTTATTTTTTCCTAAACAAACCAAAAACCACTGAAAATTTTGAAATAAAATGTTTTTTCTTAGTTTTTGTTATAAAATTTTGTAAATAAGTGATTTTTCTCCTTCACTGATGTGCGCTAATGAGGCTGCACTGATGGGCACTGATAGGCTGCACTGATGGACACTGATAGGTGGCACTGATGGGCACTGATGAGGAGGCACTGGTAGGTGGCACTGATGGGCACTGATGAGGAGGCACTGGTAGGTGGCACTGATGGGCATTGACAGGCATCACTGATGGGCACTGAAAGGCAGCACTGATACATGGCACTGATAGGCAGCACTGATAGGTGGCACTGACTGACACTAATAGGCGGCACTGACTGGCACTGTTAGGCGGCACTGACATGGCACTGATAGGCGGCACTGATGCGCACTGATAGGCAGCACTGACTGGCACTGATAGGTGGCACTGACTGGCACTGATGGGTGACACTGAAAGGCAGCTCAGATGGGCACTGATATGTGGCATTGATGTGCACTGGTAGGCAGTGATATGTGGCATTGATGTGGCACTGATGGGCACTGGCACAAGGCACTGATGGGCACTGGCACAAGGCACTGATGAGCACTGACGTAAGGCACTGATAGACACTGACAGGTGGCACTGCTAGGGCTACATTGATCATCAGGGCACACTGATCATCAGTGCCCTGATGATCAGTGTACATGTCCCCTCTGCGGAAAGCCGATTACCGGCTCTCCTCTCCTCTCGAGCTGTCAGCATGACAGCTCGAGTGGAGAGAAATGCCGATAACCGGCATTTCCCTGTTTACATGTGATCAGTTGTGATTGGACACAGCTGATCACATGACCGAGTCGACATCTTCGGCTCTTTACGTGATCGGTGATCCGCTGTGGCTGCGCACTCCCTGAGCTGCGCATGCGCAGTGAGAATGGGAGGACGTCATATGACGTCCTCTCAGAATGAGAGAACCACCTTGCGCCCATCTTATTACTATATGGCGGGCGGGTGGTGGTTAAACAATGCTTTTTTTTTTTAATCCTACCCAAAATATACTGACCCTTACCTTTGACCCCAATCTTTGACACTGATCTTTGACCCTTACATTGACCTTTGACCCTAACACTAACCCTGGCACTGACCTAGATCAAACATTGATGTAGTTATTTTTTTTCTTATTTTTAAAATTCTTTGTACATTTTGGACACACTTTTGTTTGTTTACATCTTTCTCTCCTGCAAGGAGAGAAAGATACAATGTATCTTGGTGAGAGCCTAGTTTCTGTGCTGGAAGCATGCTGTGCTGTGTGCTCCCAGCACAAAGACAATACACATATATGAGACCTCGTGTATAAAGACCCAGTTCCGTGAGGACGCATATATGTGTACAGGCGGTGTCAAGGGTTTAAAAGTCTCATTGAAAAAAACATTTTTTTTCTCCTGAGCTGTTGAGGATTTTATTTTCCCACCTCTGAAGCAAAACTAATTCAAAAATCATAGTTAAAGCAGAATTTGAATGAAAAAAACAAGGTCCATTCATCTTTCAGCACCCCCCCCCCCCCCCCAAGTAAAAACCTTAGGTAAAATCAATGAATTACACAAAAAAAAATAGAGGAAAAACATGTTAAATACTTTCTTTACACTCTGCCTCCTGTTCACTTGCCTAAGGAAGGGTGACATCACTGAACTGTCTATGAGGATCCTTGGAAAGCTGAGTATCCAAAATTCTATGAGAATGCACTCCTGCATAATACTAAATCTTTTTCTTGTGAGCTTTGGTATGCTTAGGAAGTTGTCAAAATTTAGGTGTAAGGTGAGTTTTTTTTTTCTTCCAATATTTTTTCTTTATTGTGTTCACTTAGTATTTTTACATTGTGGGGGGGGGGGAGTTGCAGTATAAGAGGACAGCGCATTTTCACACGAGGTTTGCTTTACTACTAAACTGCAATCAATGTGAATGTTCCCTGCACATGATAAAATGATGCAGATTTTAAATGTTGCTGTGTCTATAAGTTTTTCACTAAGTGTAAAATTAGATTGACACTGGTATACCTTCATGCCATCATAAAACATTACCCAGCTAATGGGCATGTATTTCATATAGGGCACATCTTTGGGAATCATTTTCTCTTTGCTACTTTATCTGCCTTACTTTTCATAGGCTTTTAAATTGTGCTAGAGTCTCTAACCCCATGAGCACAGCGATCCAACTTATCTATCAAAGGCCAGTGACATGTCAGGGTTTTTTGCATATCTCCAATTAATTCTTAATTAACTTTTGGGTTTTATCAAACCTCTCAAGTCGAGAATGATCCCGGTTCATTCTTCCAGCATAGTCCCAGAACCATAGCTTAATTAATCATACGACTTGATACCTTTCAAACATTTTTTTCAATAAACGTCGTTGGAAATTTTAAAAATAGCATAGCAAGAATGTAATAATACCATCAAGATTCTACACATCATTTATGAACATTTGGAAATTTCACAAATATACTCAATTTCAACTTTATTCAGAACAAATATTTCAGTTTTCAGTGGTTGCAGGTAAGATGAATCATAAGTTGTCATCTTATATGCTTCAGAGACTACAGTAAAAAGCCATCTCTACCAGTATTCCAAGCCGTACTTGTAGCCCAAAGAAGACACAGGCAGCAATAAAAAACATTCTAATCTTTCCCCATCCTACTTAAAAAATGTTATTGCATCATTGTTGGAGATGACAGCAACCATTTAGAGCTTGTAGCCCTTTCCCACTATATTCATAGCTAAAACAGTTGTGTAAAAGTAGAGCTGCTCTAAAGACTTTAAATACCCAAATAAAGCAGCTTGCTCAACATGTGATACACAGTGTAAAACTAAAAACAAAATATGCAGCGCAATTTCTGTGAAATAAATAAACTATATATGATCATATTAAAAATGAAATTAGTGCCCAGAAGTGTTCCACTCGATGCATATAACATAGAAAAATACATGATTATATCATAATAACATACAGTAAATCACAAACCACAAATCAAATTTCCATAAAGTGCCAGTGAAACTTCTTTGTTCACCTTTGTAAGCAAAATCACTCAATGAATACACACCAGCACAGTGTCACTAAAGAACATTTAACAAAGTTAAATGGCCCCCAAAATATTGAGTGGTCATATGCAACTTAGTAACAGAGGTATGTCCTCCTCCAGGTTCGGTCACAGACTCCTTCACCTTTCACATGTAATCATCTCTCCCAAGGATTGATATAATATATATGAAAGAGGAGCCAAAATACTCCAATAGTATATACCAGTTAAAACTAATTTATTAAAAAGAAGGATTAAAAGTGCTCACATGTGCCAATGAATCATAGCTCTAATCAGCACTACCAATCAGTAGTAAGTGTAATACACCATGACCTCGGCCCATCTGGTTCTGTGCAATTCTTCAAATGGTGACGTCTTCAGGGGTTCCAGACTGTGCCAGTCACCATACTGTATATATGTATGTATATATATATATATATTGTGGCAGGGCGTTATCCTGCCATGGTCTAAATCAAGGTTATAACGCAGGATTCTCATCTATACAAGTTGAGGGGCTCCAGGCAGTTTGCTTAATGCAGAGGAAACTGGTTTGTCAATTTCCTCATTGGTTCGTGAAGCCCTTTTTGGGACCTGGAGCCTGGAGATTTCTAAGTGATTTGGGAGGGATGAAATCTCCAATCCTGGGTCCATGTTTTGTGAACATCCAGCACACTAATTACACAGGTGTGTGCAGGCCTTTTTGTAAAAGCCTAACCAGGGTTCTAGGCTCCACCCCAGCAGACAGGAGGCCATTTCCCAGGAGTCAGGAGGGCTCCACCTGGAGGTGGGAGCCAGAGCAGCAAGGGGCTGTATACCTGAGAGAGCCAGGAGGCTGAATATTTGTTTAATTTGTATTGATGGTGGATACCTCTGCTTGGGAAACATATTGTATGGAACATTCCTTTAAATAAATAAAAGTCCCTTAAAAAAGAAGAAAGTGAGTGGCTGTGTGCTGTAAAAGCTCTACCCTTTACGCTAGTTCTCACAATATATACAGTGGGGATCGAAAGTTTGGGCACCCCAGCTAAAAATTTGTATTAATGTGCATAAAGAAGCCAAGGAAAGATGGAAAAATCTCCAAAAGGCATCAAATTACAGATTAGACATTCTTATAATATGTCAACAAAAGTTAGATTTTATTTCCATCATTTACACTTTCAAAATAACAGAAAACAAAAAAAATGGCGTCTGCAAAGGTTTGGGCACCCTGCAGAGTTAATATCTTGTACTGCCCCCTTTGGCAAGTATCACTGCTTGTAAACGCTTTTTGTAGCCAGCCAAGAGTCTTTCAATTCTTGTTTGAGGTATCTTTGCCCATTCTTCCTTACAAAAGTCTTCCAGTTCTTTGAGATTTCTGGGCTGTCTGTCACGCACTGCTCTTTTAAGGTCTATCCATAGATTTTCAATTATGTTGAGGTCAGGAGATTGTGAAGGCCATGGCAAAACCTTCAGTTTACGCCTCTTGATGTAATCCCTCGTGGATTTCGAGGTGTGTTTAGGATCATTATCCATTTGTAGAAGCCATCCTCTCTTTAACTTCAGCTTTTTCACTGATGGCATCAAGTTACCATCCAAAATTTGCTGAAATTTTATTGAATCCATTTTTCCTTCTACTCATGAGATGTTCCCTGTGCCACTGGCTGCAACACAACCTTAAAGCATGATTGATCCAACCCCATGCTTAACAGTTGGACAGAGGTTCTTTTCATTAAATTCTGTGCCCCTTCTTCTCCAAACGTACCTTTGCTCATTCCGGCCAAAAAGTTCAATTTTAACCTCATCGGTCCACAGAACTTGTTTCCAAAATGCATCAGGCTTGTCTATATGTTCATTTGCAAAGTTCAAACGATGATTTTTGTGGTGAGGACGTAGAATAGGTTTTCTTCTGATGACTCTTCCATGAAGACCATATTTGTACAAGTATCTCTTTATAGTGGAATAGTGTACCACAACTCCAGTGTCTGCCAGATCTTTCTGGAGGGATCATGCAGTCAAACGTGGGTTTTGAATTGTTTTTCTCACAATCCTGCGAGCTGTTCTTTCTGATATTTTTCTTGGTCTTCCAGATCTTGCTTTAACTTCCACTGTTCCTGATGACTGCCATTTCTTAATTACATTCCGAACAGAGGATATTGACATCTGAAAACGCTTTGCTATCTTCTTATAGCCTTCTCCAGCTTTGTGAGCGTCAACTATTTTCAGTTTAAGTTTTCTAGACAACTGCTTAGAAGAACCCATGGTGCTGATTGTTGGGGCAAGGTCAGATGAGTCTGGGCATTTAAAACCTTTGAGATTGACATCACTTGGTCTTCCCAGACGATGATTGAGAACAATCCATGGTACTGGCAGGTCTCAGCTTGGCAAAGGGGGCAGTGCATGCTATAAATTCTGCAGGGTGCCCAAACTTTTGCAGACGCCATTTTTTTGTATTCTGTTATTTTGAAAGTGTAAATGATGGAAATAAAATCTAACTTTTGTTGACATATTATAAGAATGTCTAATCTGTAATTTGATGCCTTTTGGAGATTTTTCCATCTTTCCTTGGCTTCTTTATGCACATTAATACAAATTTTTAGCTGGGGTGCCCAAACTTTTGATCCCCACCGTATATATATATATATATATATATATATATATATACACTATATTGCCAAAAGTATTAGGACAACCCTCCCAATCATTGAATTCAGGTGTTCCAATCACCTCCATGGCCACAGGTATATAAAACCAAGCAGCTAGGCATGCAGACTCCCTTTACAAACATCTGTGAAAGAATGAGTCGCTTTCAGGAGCTCAGTGGATTCAAGCATGGCACCATCAACTGTTAGTGGTATTTTAACCAAGTAGAAGCAACTGGGAAG